TAAAAATATTTGTGTGTGGTCACATTGGGGACCTGTGGGGCTGCATTGCATATACAGCTTAGTTTGCAAATTTTGTCTCAAAACCACATTTACAAGTTAGAGATTCAGAAACCTAAGCTGCAGGGATCTCCGTCATCAAAAAAGGACAGCGGAGCCTAGAAGCAATAATCCATAGTTCTGGCACTTTTATCTTTAGTTCAGCAGAACTGTATTGACAAAAACATTTTCTTTGAATTACATAAGAACAGTTCCAAAGAGGGGGGAAGATAAGAGAATTGGTCTCAAATCTCTGACCCCAAATAACGAATTCGGATCAGAGACTTCCAGAATGCCCTCACTGAAAGTTCTGAAAGGTCTATGGTTATCTTTACATAGAAGAAACATGCAGCAAATATAGATGGGTGTGGTCGACTGTTCCCACAGGTCATCTTCCCCAGTGTCCCACCCCATGCCAACCTCTTAGAAAACAAATCTCTGGGGCTTTCTCCTCTGGGACACCCAGTGTATAAACATTAGGGTGACCCCAGACTAAGGTATTGTTGTGTCTGAAGGAGTCTGGCCATTTGTGCTTGAGGAGAAAGGGCCCAGTCCCACCTTCCCACCCTCAGGGGCAGCCAATGTGAGGAAAGGAAGGGGGCTGGTTTCTCCTCCTCTCCCCTCCCTCCTTCAAAATTGTGTATAAAAATTCCAATACAGTCTTCTCATAGAGAAAAAAAAATGAAAGCCTTATCCTCAACCCTACACATTTAACTTCAACAGACGGAGACATCTGGCAGGAGGACGGTGGAGCCAAGAAAATTCCTATAAATTTAAATTCGATGATGGTTACAATTAACTCCACAACAAACGTGTACTTAAAACGGAAAACATTGCTGGGCATTTGGACACAGCTTGGGCTGCACATGAGAAAGGAGAGCTTTAAGAGGAGCCATGGAATATTCTCCGCTTGAGAGCGGGAAGAAGCTACAGCCACACTCTGGCCCCTGCCACTGGAGAGGGGTGGGGTGCAGGCCCACCAGCCTTGGCCTACCTCACCTTCCCATGCCTGTCCTCACCACCAGTGCTCTCCCCGTCTGCCTCCTCCTCCACCTTGAGAGCATTGAGGGTTTTAAGAGGAGAGAGGCTAATAAAAGGGTCAAATAAAATCATAATATTGAACAGAATGAAATATCTTTATTTGCCACCAAAAGAATTTCACAGCAATCCCTCCGGGACAGGAGCAGGGTGGGGGATTGCACATGTACACGCACTCACACACAAGGAGAGAGGTGGGTGATGTGAATCTCATTCCAGGCGAGTGTTCCCCCCACCCCCTCAGGGTAGAAAGAAACGCTTGTGAAACTTATTTACAAAAATTCAGGCCCCAGCATGGGGGAGGTGCCCAATGCTATCTCCCTAATGCTAAGCCCACGCCAATCTTTTTTTTTTTTTCCTTAAAAAAAAAAAAAAAAAAAAAAAAAGGAGGTAACAACTGCATAAACTATAGCTATAAATCCATGGAGTGGGGCACGACTTGGAAAAAGGTTGGGAATCCTCAATGCACCAGTTAAGAAATTTCAAAGGAGGGCTCTACACATTCACAGGGCGAACAGCTAGGCTCGGGCGGGGCCTGGGCGCAGACGGAGGTAGGACACGGACTTTGCACACCTAACACCAGGTCGAAGGTATAGAAATTTCACAGCAAGGCAGGATCACATTTAGCTGCCCCCTAGCAGTGGGGCAGGCGGGGTAGGGGCGGGTAGCCCGAGAAGTCTTCCCTCGCAGACACGGTGTTTTAGCAGATTTTTTCACTTGTGCAAGGGAAAGCTTTTAGTCCAAGGATTGTTCGGCTCAGGCGCCCAGGACTCTTGCCCTTCCCCCACCCAATCCGAGCAGCAAGACATTGTAGCAAGGTGTGTTTTCTTTTAAATAAAGTCTTGGCCTCGGCGCCAACGTAGTCCACTCGCCGTGGGTCAGACACTTTCCTTCACCCCCTTCCAGGCCCGGTGCCCGTCCCGCAGCGAGAGTCAGACTGAAGGTGAAGGAGGTTCCGGAAGGAAGTGCGGGCAACGGCAGTGGGGACCAGCCCTGGCCACAGTCCAGTTTTCCACCCGCGGAAAGAAGGCGAGTTAGAAAATAAAAAATAAAAATAAAATAAAATACCCCCCTCCCCCCACCCCGCAAAGGGCCTGGTCTGCGGTTACAGCAGAGGATTTCCCGAGAAATATTGCAGCCGGTCTCTGCTTAGTTTTTTTTCTTTCATCCTTCTGTTCTGAAACCAAATTTTCACTTGTCGGTCTGTCAGGTTCAGCATCCGGGACAGCTGCAGCCGCTTCTCTTTGTTGATATACACGTTGAAGAAAAACTCTCGCTCCAGTTCCCGGATCTGGAATTTCGAATAAGGGCAGCGCTTCTTGCGGGTGCGGGGGGCGTCTGGAAGGGAGGGGGGCAAGTGCGAGGAGAGGAGGGGGAGAGAGACACGTGAGACCCGGAGGACCCCAGACCGCTGAGCGCTCCGCGGCCCTTCTC